CTGGCCTTGGCATGTGTTTGTGCTTTACTGCATTGATAACGCCAAAAACACACGCACACTTAAAACAATGACACTGTAAAAAGAACAAGTCCACTGACCTTTTTTTGTTGTCAGTCTGCGATCCGTTTACACAGGTCAAATGTAGATGACACATAACCTTCCTGCTGACCTTTTTTATTAACAGGTGTAAACTATTCTGGTTTGGGCAGAATTTGTAAGGCGTGTAAGAAAATAACCTAGCATTAAAACATGACTACTTTCAAACAGTTAACCAAAAATAAATACAGGATGGATCATTTATTCTTTTGGGGGGGTTTTTGTTTGTTTGTTTTTTCCATCAAGTTGTATTGATGGGAATTTATACATTTCAGAAGATATGATTTATGTGAATTGATTCAATCTTCATAGCCTCCCATGTTAAAATACCCAACATAAAAACCTTATTTATTGGTCATTTCTGCCTTCATGAATATTTTGCAGGGTGAATTTTCTATCACATACCCTTTTACTCTTTTAAGGTTTCAAACGTTTTTTTTTTTTGTTAAAGAAAAATCAAAACAACACTGGTTCATAGAAATGTATTCAGCTACAGCTCCAATTATTTCCTGTGCTTCTGGCAACTTTGCTCAATACTTTCATTTGCTGGTCAAATAACAGCCCTGGTGACCTGTCTAGGGTGTACGACCCGCCCAATAGTAGATGGATAGCTTTTATTTATATGTTGCTTAGCACTAATTAGCCGATATCTGTGTCTCTGTGTTGCGCCTGCACAGCTTATGGATGCAGCTTGCTAACCAAACTAGTTAGCATTAGCTGACTTAGCTCTCCATCCTAATAATGTCTGCACAAAGTAATGCTGTCGAAGGCTTCGTACTGCCACTCCACAAATCCATGAGTGATGTCAGATGGCTACATCCGTTTTTTATATACAGTTTATGGTTTTTACAGCGAAGCACCAAAGCATCAAATCATCAAATCACAGCAGAGTTGTTAATACACCACAAAGCTTTCATACTCCTCAGCTGATTCCAGTTTCATGCTGTGTTTAAAATGCTTTCAGAGACTGAATCATTTTTTAGAAGAAAAGTTTCATGTTCTGCTCTGAGTAATGCCTCTGCGTCATTTTAAGCCTTTCTACAAACCCTGCGTCTGACAGGTCAGGCACCATTAACCAAGCACACTGCCGAGTCAGAGCAGGTCACAACACCCGTTGGCGCCACCACACACACACACACACAGACACACACGCAGAACAGATTGCTCAATTAGCCCTCCTTTAGCCTGTGCCTCTCTTAACCCTGCAGCTACGCTTAGAAGCCATTACACTCAGGGTCAAGTGTGATCCCTGTGCTTATCTGCATCAACAACTGGCAAGTGTAGGCGTGCTTTTGCATGCACACACATTTTACACACAAGTCTTACAGGCCTCTGGTGAGCACTGGGAGTAATAAAAAGTGATTTAGTGAAGGATGTGATTGAAGAGGCAATGCTGCCCTCATGTGCTCTGCAATTTGTAATTACAAGTGGTTAAAACTGATTATTTGTGGATGGATGGTAAATCCCCAACATAACTCACTCAGGCATCTCCTCTCAGAACCACATCTCACAAAGTGGGTGACCAAAAGTTACCTCATGCTACTTTTCACTCCTTCACTTCTTTTCAGTCCTGAACAGTTATGACAACAGGAGCTCTTGATATTGCTGTGAAAACCCAACTGCAGCAACTGATCCGACTGAGAAACAATTTCTTCGTCTGCTATGGTTCCTTAAATGACCTGAGCCTCAGTGGTGCTATCAGGATGTTGCAGAAGGAGGCAGTGTTGAGGTGAAACAGTGAGATGTTTTATCTGAGCCTGATGGCAAAGCTTCTCGTCTCCTCTCCAGAGCCTCATCACTCTGAAAATGACTAAGGGATGTGTGGTGGGCTGAAGAGGAAACTCCCTTTACCACAGCCCTACTATCTCTGTGGGAGTTCATTATACACACAGACTGGCCACACACATGAGCACACACGCATACACACAGTCATTCATATGCATGCAATATCCACTGTGGGAGACTATTACACACATGCAGTCTGAGATGTGAACCCTGTGGGGCAGATGTGTACACTATTCACCACATTATAAATATGATTCTGTGGGCATCCCCTGCCCCACCCATGCAGGCAGACTCCCCCGCAGAGTTCCACCCACAAGGTCAGCGGCTGTGGGATAAAGGGGTGAACGTGGAAGCCGTTATAGTAAAGCCGTAGAGGGGTCATAGGGTGAGAATATGTCACATGGACCACACATACATGCACATCTGTACAGATGTGGGGACCTTCATGCTTCGAATGCTAGAGTGACTCAAATGTTGCCTTTATAATGAAAAGTTCTTCACTACACTAAAACAAACTGCTGTACAAATACAGGAAACCTATACAGTTATTTCCTGCCCTTTATGAATACATGTGACTGCTTCAAATTCTCATTATTAATGTAAATATTACCAGGAGGCTACTGTGTAATTTTACAGTATCATACAGTAGTTTCTCTTTGGCAAAAAACCTTTAACTTTAAATCATTAACTTAGTAGTGCTGGTATAGTTAGTAAAATAGTTATCTCTAGTTCTGCAGCTGATTGTGGGCTGCAGTGTTTCAGTGTATGTTAGACTGAGTGTTAACGTTTAGCTAAAGCAGCATTCATCGTCGGGCTGCTTATTATCATTGAATACAGCACCGTTCCAATAACTTAAGGTGAATAAAGAGGGTGAATTTAGGCTATATGCATGCTGTTGTGTCTTACAGCAATAAATTGTTTGTGGCAATTGCAGTAAGAATACTAAAAAAAAACTGTACTAAACAATCAAAAATGCTATGAAAAAAACAGTTTAATGTTAGTAAATCAGTCTGGTGGTATTTCACTGTAATTTAACAGAGTGCATTTAGACAGTCATGTGGAAAAGAAACTTTTTACGGGACTCCAAGAAGTCCTGTGTGTCAGCACCTATAAAAGGTGAACTTTTGGCAGTTTGCTGGTTTGAAGCATTCAGGTGTGTGTTAACATAATCTTCCTAGAAGTGGACATCGCACCAAATTCACCCCAAGATTAGAGCTACAGCTCAGACTCAACATGCCTCAGTTAGTGAGTTAAATTTGAAAGTTCATGACAGTACAAGTAGAAAAATACTTCATAAGATCTCCATTTCTCTCTAAAAGGAACATGGCAGCACAGCTTAGGCTTGCAAAATGACATCGGAAATAACCCAAGAGTTTAACCCAAAGTGGAGAGGTCTGGCCATGATACACAAATACACAACTCCAAGTCTAAAAAGCCTAAACACAACATATCAGAGCAAACATCTCGTACCAACTGTCAAGCATGACTTGTTTCGCAGCAACAGGACTTAGACACCTCGTAGACCTGGAATCATCATGAACTTCTCTGTGTACCAAAGTATTGTAGATCAAATCTGAGGCCATCTGTCTGAGAGCTCAAACTTTCCTAAAATTGGGTCATACAACAAGACAGTGATCCCAAGTACAGCAGCACATCTACAATAAGGTGGCTGAAAAAGAAAAGAAGCTGTTGAACCCGACTTAAATGGTATGCTGGGACCTTAAGAGAGCTTTCATAAATGAATGTCTGCAAATCTCAACTGAAGCAACGCTGTAAAGAAAATTCCTCCACAGCGATAAAGTCATTCAGAAAACAACTGAAGTTATTATTCCTGAAGGTGCTTCTACAACATTTCGAGTCACGGGTGCATTTTTAAAACTTTTTCACATGGCTGTATTATCCTAACCTGTCCAGGGTGTACCCCACCTCTCACTCCAAGCCTGAATTGGATAGGCAGAAGAGAATTGATGGATGGATGTATTATCCTACTGCAGTATGAATCTTCCTAATCAGATGAAAACCAATCTAAAAAAGAATTGAGTGTATGATCAGGGTTTAGTCCATTTGTCCAAAGTAGCGACTAACCAACCGTCTGCCACAGCAGACTTCCAGTGCATGCATAGTTTTATGCTGAGAAACTCCTTTTTGAATACGATAAATACTTCTGAATATTAGATGAAAAACGATGCTGTATTTGTCACCACCACAGTGGAACTTGACAGCAATGTCCTGTTAAAAACATGAACCAAAGCCTTATAACAAGTGAACAGGTTGATTTATGTGTCTATTAGACACAGGTATGTTTTTATGAAGGTGTTAACATTATTACTTTAGTTTGACTCTCGATTTAAAAATCTCATTATCAATTCTACATATCAAGACTTGTATTTTAACATGTTTTATTATCAATTGTGATTTCCCAAATTTATGCAATTATCTCACCAAGATCTCAGAATTACGACCACAATACAAACTGGTTATTTTTACAAACCCATTGCCCTGTAATGTAACTTACCCCCATATGTAAATTCATGTCAGCACCAAATTCTCCCAAAGCACCCGACGATGCAACCATTTCTACACATCAGTACATCCAATTCTTGTGTGTGGAAAAAAAACAAAAACCTTTTAGTTTTTCCTCCTTCCTTGTAACTTTAGAACTTTAACTTTTAGGCTTTCTAAGCTTGTTATTTACTTGACTCTGACATCATCTACTGGTGAATCTGGGGTACAACATGCCAACAGAATTTGTAGAAATCTTTATTTATATTGTCAATCAAAAGTACAATATCCCCTAGGAAATGTATAAACTGCCAAATAATTTACATTTAAGGCCACGACACTCAGAATTGGGAGGCAGCATCGCGCTTAAGAGTCAAGGTAAATCAGAAAAGCCCATTATAGTCAACAGGGACGCCGTTCTTCATAGAGTGAAGTCCCTTTGAGCTATAGAGTGTCAGAGGTGTGGAAAACACACGCTGGAGCAAACTGCCTTCACTGTTTAACTTAAGAGGTCAACTCCTGTCACAGTGAACGTGGGGCTGTGCAATGCTGACAGTTCTCCAGTCACATCATGTCAAACAGAAACGTGCCAACATAAGTTAGGAAAACTCAAACACAACAAACAAGTTTGGATTTGTTCTTTCCTATTTACAGAGTATTATTGAACAGGAGTCAGGCCAGAGCAACAACAGTTCCATCACTCAACAAGTGATACTGTTACATTCATAAAACTCATCTAAAACAAAAAGACCAGAAATGGAGAAACTTCTGCTCTTGCACAGGTTGAACATTCTTCAGATATCCAGTTTGTCAGTAGCTCATCCTTCAGCAGACGCAGAGGGCTGTAACGGTGTCCTCTCCACAAAGGAGCAGCGGTTGACACATGAGTAGGTGCTTTCAGATACAAAGAAGTAAACTTGACATACAAATAAGGACAAAAAGACCTACTGTTACAGGGTAATGCAGGGAATGAAAAGGTTCAGCGTGTCCATTTTTACACCTCACATAAAACATCTGCTGTTGTGCTACTGCTGATAAGATGTAGAACATTTAAAAAGTAAAAACAAATTTGATTCAAGCCATCCTGAGACAAATCTGAAAAATAATAAATACACCCTGGCTAGGATTACAGATCACGCTCCTGCTGACTGAACAAGTGTGTCTGTGTGTGTGTTTGGGTGGTATGTGAATCAGTTCAGGCGCTGTCGCTCGGTGCGTTAGTATCCTTGTAGTCCGTTGTAAACCTTCTGTACAGATCCCTGTTTCAGAAGATTCCGAATACCTGCAACGACACGGTGACAGCTGCTGTTAAAAACCTTTCCCCGCGAGCAGATCGAACTACAACATCATTGATCCTGTTCAGAAATGAGAACATGTAACAAAGTGACAGACTGTTCTTCTGTCCCATTCAATTAAATTAAAATACATATAGAATAACTACTTACCATATAAACCTTTTCTGAAGACAAACTTTTAAAAAAGGTATAACTTCAATTTATAAAATCTAAATTCAACTATTTGTTTTTGGCATCTCTCTTTGGAAATTTGAATCACTTACAGGGGACCAATCCTTATTTTCTGTTATGTACGTAGTGTTCTTATGGTTGACACGGCCCAAGTTTGGTCAACTCAGACATTCAGTCGCCTGCTCCTCAAATCTTTTGCTTAGGAGGGGCAGCCAATCAGAAGAACTTGAAAGAGCTAACATGCCTCGTTTAAAAGAGAAGCAGGAAAGCCTTGTAAGATAAATAAGGACTAAATGAGCAGAATACAGTAGGTCCCCTTAAGATATGATGTGTCCTTAACTTCTCCCAGCCCGCCCTTTAACACTGCCACACTCTGACCTTCTTTCTGCTGGTCGTCGAGCTGTGTCTGAGGAAAGTCTACATCGAACGTGATGATGAGGGAACCTCGAATGTTGACGTTGTCAAAGTTGGGCAGTCCCTCTCCTTTCTTCCACATTCGAGCACCGGGCTTTGTGATCTTATCCCTCACTATGTGGACCTGCCAGGCAAAGACAGACAAACATTTACTATTAATCTTATACATGTTTTTATTTTTCCCCAAATAATCTAATCTTTCAAAACAAGAAGCATATACAGAACCTTGTGTCCATCCAAATGTACAATATCCATCTCAAAGCCAACCAGTGACTCCACCAGAGAGATGGTGACATTAGTGTAGAGATCATCTCCTCTGCGCTCAAACACAGGATGTCTATAAAGTAGAAACATCCCCACATCACTTGTCTGTCACTATACTTATATTCTAATTGGTGCACGCCTCTCTCGTTCTCTCTCTCTCTCTCTCACACACACACACAGAAATCTGTTCATACTTCAACACTTTGATGCGAAATCGAAGGTCTCCAGGCTCTCCATCGATGTGAGGTTCCCCTGTGGTCAGAGTAAAATGTTAGAAACAGGGAGTGACAAAAAGCTAGCGATTTAAGATTTACAAAGCAGTTACCTTCTCCAATAAAAGGGTACTCCATCTCATCTCTCACTCCTTGCTCAATCTCTACCTCTAAGGTCCTCTCTTCATTCACCAGCCTGCAGATAAGATAACATCAGAGGATGCATTTGTTAATCCCCAAATATGGTCAATTTATTAAGTACGTTAAGCTAAAATCTAGGATTCCTGATGTGTTTTTCAAAATATCCCATAAGCATTTCCCCCCCCATTTCTTTCAGTCTGCTGTTGAACTTTGTGACTCAGAACTTGTTCTAGTGGAATGCAGTCATGTGGACGCTGTACCAGTCCATCATGGTGAAGGAAGAGCCGAGTGTAAAAGCAAAGATCTCAGTTTACTTGTTGATCTACGTGCCTACCCTCGCCTATGGTCATAAACTTAGCAGTGATTGAAAGAACAAGACACAAGTGGCAGAAATGAGCTTTCCAAAGGTCATCTGGCCAGTCCCTTAGAGCAGCGGTCCCTGACCGCTGGGAACCGCTGTGAGTCGTTTGGTACTGGATCGCGAGAGTAGAGGCTCGGGTGTGAAATTCACAGCTTTTAGCATTATTTTTGTCATTTTTATTGTTAATTTGGTTTCCCTGGGTCTCTTCCCGTGTGTTATGAATAAATCTTTTTTTTGGTACTGGTTTTATTTTGTTGTATTTATCCACGACACCTTAAAGGCCGGTCTGTGGCGCAAAAAAGGTTGGGGACCGCTGCCTTAGAGAGAGCGAGAGAAAGCCAATAATTGAAGAGGGGCTAAGAGCAGAGCTGCTACACCTCCACATCGAAAGGTGCCAGTTGAGGTGGTTTGGGCATGCCCATGGGGAGGAGGCCCCGGGGCAGACTCAGGACATGCTGAAGCTCCCCTGGATAAGCAGGGGCAGTTGGCTAGGGAGAGGGAGGTCCAGGGTTCTCTGCCTAGACTCCTGCCCCCACAACCCAGTTACGGATACATAGAATAAAATGGATGGGTGGGTGGCATATTTGTTTACATCACATTAACAGGTTTTGTTGGTAACAGTGTAATAATGTAGCTTGATCGTCTATCTTGAGATCTGGATCTGTATTCTCGGGTTCATTTCAAATCCAATCATAAGGTCTTGGCAACTAAAACACACCCTGATGGAGAAAGAAGATCAACTCTGCCAGAAACTTCGCACATCAGGAAATAAGAATCGGAAGTGATTGAAAGAAGCAATACATGATCTAAAAATCAGTACCGACTTTGACACATGTAATAAAACACACCTGACATCTGTAGCAACAGATCAATGTCATTCTGAGAGAGCTAGACAACATACAACCTGAAGCAGTTATCAAAAATTAAAATGGAAGCATCGCAGATTCAAACCCTGTAGCTGTACAATCGGTGGCCAAGTCCAAACTTGGGTTAGAGACATTCAAATTTACGACTTCAGATGCTTCATCTCATTTTCAGTGGTGTCCAAAATGGGGTTATCATTTATAAATTGAGTAGTAACATCTGTACTGTGTTCTTGTGTTGCTCAATATCTGTCCCTTTGTTTTACTGGTGCAGCAGAGTTGCTTTGTTTGATTGAGAGTTCAACATATTCCTCATAATGCCTCACAAACAGCAGGTGGGTGGGGCTTCTGCACCAGAGCTGTGTGCCTGAGATGACCACATTAGGGACATTTTCTATGATGTCACAGCCATGTATCACAGAAAATAAGGAAAAGCATAATAGGCCCCATTTAATGATGACAACAGGAGCTGACTTACTTCACATTGGGACACTCATCGCACACCATTTCCTGAGTCATCTGGAAACGTCCAGGTCCAAGCTGGGTCGTCCTCATTTCCTGTCTGCAATTACACTTCCTTTTACCAGGAGCTTCTTTAGCTACAGGCTTGTTACGTACAACCTGCATACAGCGGGAAAAATAAGTGTTGATAACATGAAAATCTACAGGTAGTAAATTAGACGATTCATCGGTAACCCTTGCAGTTTGATCACTGAATGAAGTGACACTCTATAGCTAGCTCCTCTTTGTGGAACAAACTTGAAATGTGAATAAAGGATGCTAAAGACTGTTCGTTTGGAAACCAGGAGTTTCTCCACACCTCCACAAAGTTCCCAGAGTAAACCTCTTCCAGTGTAACCTCCAGGTCCAGTATTATGTCATTTCCTCTGGGAATATTCCTGTCCTGCTGCTGTCGGTTGCCACCAAACATGAACCCAAAGTCACCAAAGAAGCTACAGAGGGAGGAACAGTAGCATGAGTGGACATTATACATACATTTAGCTGAACCTGGCATAAAATCCAGCTGAGCTCATGAAACCAACCTGGAGAAGATATCGTTGTGAGAGCTGTGGTGACCCTCTTTGAGCCCGTCCTCTCCATACATGTCATACTGTTTCCTTTTCTCCTCATCTGAGAGGACCTACAAACAGACAACCTGTCAATCACACAATGGCCACATGCCGCAGTCTTTGTTCTCTCCGCTGATACGTGTGAGTGTCATTATTTAATGTTAAAAAAAACAACAAAAAAACAACAACACAAAAATGTCGATGGGCTCTTGAAAGCTGTGTTAGTTTTTGAAATTGACTGTGATTCATTAAACAATGAAATGAAAACTCAGTGAACTGTTACTACTGAATCAATCTTAAGGCTTACGTATAAAATATACACTTTTTCAAATATGAGAATACAAACAGTTGACCCATTAGAAGGAACTCCCAGCAATTACATTGTGGCTGTAGAAGTGCCTTCAACTGAGAAAAGCAGCAATGGCTCCATTCTTAGATTTTGATGAGAATTTGGAAATTCATAGAAAACTTTTACAGCTGTTGCTAGTGCTAATCAGTTTGTCATTATCTCCCGTTGTTTCAACCACAGACTATAGATAAAAGATTATCTCGCATCATTAAGCATCAAGCTGAACCTCATTTCTTTTTGTCAACCTTTTTGAAACTAGATATAAGTGAGAGGCAGATCAGACTGTACTGAGAAATAATCTTCTTGACTCTAGCAGTGAGCATAATTTACAACATGAAGATTATGCTGTAACAGGACTTGTAACTAGTAAGTGACATCCTCAACCAACGAAGAAGGTGTTTACTGAGATGACAGAGGGCTCTCTTCCCTCATTCAGCAACAACAGGCAAAAAATCCAAGTGGGAAGGTCCCAAGTTAAACTTCAAGGTGAGCACCTGAAGAGACTACCAAAGAATGTTGGATATGTTGCTGTTTCTACATTTAGTAAGCCATTTCAAATTCTGGTTTTGAAATATTTTTATTTGTTATTTATTGTACCACCACTTTAGATTTCATTAAACAAATACCTACTGAACTTTATGGTTGAGATTGTTATCGTTTTGGTGCCTGAGGTACCTCAATAGCAACAATTTAAAAAAAAAACAAAAAACACAACTTCAAAAGAATTTATGTAGATCTTGTCAATTATTTTCTATTATTTTTATTATATTGTCATTCATTTAGAGATACATTTATAGACCCACCTCGACTAATAAAACTCGATTAATAACCAATTTCAGTTTTGTGTTACAAATCAGTGAACTCGCTGCGGCATCCTTCCGTTTTTAAAAGAAACGTGAACGTTTGACACGGAAACACCTGCAGCGCTTATCCGAATCCACTCCCACTCATCCACGTCTGAATTTTCAATACACCAGCTGTGCTGCCTGACAGCCAATCAGATTCAGCCACACGGTCTAATCGTCCAATCGCAGAGATCTTACCAACAACAACCAAATTTCAGGCTTATAAAACAGTTGTATTGGGCGCTTTTATACTCACATAGGATTAAATCTACGCTACTGTCCCCGAACACAGCTGATACTATGAAACTATAACAGTCTTTTAACTCAAAAACAATTTCATTGTTGCTCATCTCGGATATCACTAGCATCAAGAACACAACAATGGCTACACATCTACCTCATAGGCTGCCCCCAAGTCTGCGAACTTGTCCTGGGCTTGCGGGTCGTCTTGGTTTCTGTCGGGGTGTAACTGCAAAGCCAGCTTTCTGTAGGCCTTCTTGATGTCCCTGATTGATGCACTCTTGCTCACCCCCAAGATTTTATAGAAATCTCGCCTACAGGAGAGAGGAAGATGGCACAAATGAGGCAGACACAGGAGGCACAGAGGTAGAAGAAAAAGGAGAAACCGTTATCAAATGGCAATGGTGCTACTTTTAGATTGTAAAACACCGAGTTGACAACAATCTCCGGGGGGTAAGCCAGTTTGGCTTCCATAGACAGTATGCAGCAGCTTCATCTGCCGTAATCGCTAGCTCCAAGCTAACTAAGCTAGGTAGTCACTTAAAACACGGCCCTTGCAAGTGGTGGATACGCTTTTTAATGAGAGAGGCGCAAAAGACGACGAAAGCACTTATTAGCAAGTTAGCTCTGTGTGTCAGACTGTTCCACGCATGGAGAGCACGTCTAGACCAATCACAGTGAAACATGTGTACCAGCTGGCGATGCTGTTTCGCCGCTGTCCGAGCGAACACCACTTACCCGGCAAGCACCGCCGTAGTAGCATAAAGAAGCAGGCAGCACACGTTACACAGATTCATCCCTTTAGCAGCCATAGATCTTAGGATTTCTCAAGGAGGTAGCAAAGAACAACCGGCTTTTTAAAGCTCGGATCCCAGCTGCCAGTCAGTCAGCCACAAGCCTTCTTCCTCCTGTCAGAGAAAGCCCGCCCACTGGATGTCGGCAAATCATCCTCTCCCGAAAAACTCTGCCCAGCGTTAAAGAGACAGCTCACACCTTTCTTCTCAGCAGCCCTTTCTTGTCATATATAACTGTTTGCACCGATGTGCTTGGGGTTTTTTTTTTGTTTTTTGCTTTTGTTTTTTGTTACATGTATAAGTACAACTAATAAAAAACTGAACATTTCGGTGAATAAAAAAAACCCGGGCACCATGCTCATAGTGCAGGCTGAAGCGCGGCCCCGGGAGCTGCGCGCAACAGATGTCTGCTGAGATCTGTGTGGAGAGGAGGGCGCCAAATAGGAAGGACGGCAGATGTGCGTCTGACAACAAACCAGGAACCACTGCACTCGTCCTCCTCTGTATACCTAGGAGTCCTTGACCTGTCGGCCCTTTTCTCATTCAGGCCGAAGATCCCAGTAACAGGACGAGGACACAAAGTCTGACAGTAAGATCCAGAGCTGTCCTAGCTCAGCTAGCTAACTGGAGCTAAGCTAAGCTGACCAGCCCTACTTTTTTATGTTGGAGTTAACTTTATGAGCAAATAGCAGTGCGCCTGGTATTCGGCTTCATTTCTTGTTGTGCCACAGCAAAAACAAGTGAGTTTTGTGCATATATTTACTGTGTTACTGGATTGATGTTAGCTTAGTTTTGATTAGCTTGTCAAACTTGAAATTAGATGCCTAGTGTTGATGGCACGAGCAGCCTGGTTGCCAGGAAGATATTTTTCAACCTGTAATTAAACGGTCATTTTTGAAGATTAGGTCTGTTGTCGCTGTACTAAATAAACAACAAAGAGAAGGTTCATGAAATGCGATGAGTTTAAAAAAAAGTGAGTAAAAGCAGAACATCCTGCGCTGTATCTGAATTGATACACAGTTGTGTGTGTACATAGTTAAAGTGGCTGGAGTATGAGTGACATGGTGAACTAAACAGTGTGGACAGAGGTTGAGTCTGTGCGAAATAACAAAGCATTAAGTTATTGTAACTGTCCAGTTTGACCAGTTTAACTGCTAGTGCTCCCCAGCTCCTTCCCTGGTTCGTGACTAATAATCATAATCCAGTAATGGCGCTGTCATTGTGATTTAAAAGTGCATTGTACTTATACAGTGTCAAATACTCAAGTAATTAATTATCGGTGTATGTCACATGTTTTTGTACTCTGTTTCTTCAGACATGGAGACAAACGGTGTGAGCATATGGCCACGCATGGAACCGTTCCTACTTGGTGCCCTACAGGTAAATATACTCCCACTATCATCCAAGAGCTGTAAATCTTGTAAATAGCATGAATTACTATCGTTGTAGGTGGCACCATCCTCCAAGCTAAACCTACACTATCTTCGAAAGATGGCTATCTACGTGCGAACAAGGAATGGCTGCTTCCCCATCCTGAGCTGGCCCATGTGGAGGCATATCGCCTGTGGAAAGTTGCAGCTTCCAGAAGACCTTGCGTGGCTCTACTTTGAGACCTATGACCTTCTGATAGGTCATACACCAGAGGAGAGGCTGGAGTGGGCTGAATGTCTTTCCCAGTGTTCTACTAAAAGTGAGCTGGACCAGCAGAGGAACAAGGTTAAATAAAGTTAAAATATTTATTCCAAGGACTGATACTATTGTAACCTTGCCGTCAGATTTGAAGGAAGAGCGGCTGCATATTGATAGGTAACCTGTGTTTTTTTTCCCCTTTCCTTTGTACACCAGTTGTCTGTGGACACTCTGCAGTTCCTCCTTTTCCTCTACATTCAGCAGCTGAACCGCGTGTCTCTGCGCACCTCTCTGATTGGGGAAGAGTGGCCCAGCCATCGCACTCGCTCCCCGTCTCCATCAGACAGAGAGTCGAAGACTAGCTATCAAAACAAGGTTCTCTTTGCCATGAAAGATAAAATAGAATGACCAACGATGCAGCAGGATTTATAGTATTGTGTAGTTCTAATTAGATCTGGTGCAAATTATTGTATGGTGGTGTATATGAATTTAACCACTTATAGTCCAGTTTTGTTCCTGTTTTGGTTCTGCAGAATTGGGATGATCAGGCTCACCTGTCCTTCGTGCAAAGCCATCTGGCAGAGATTTTGGAGCTGCTAGTGGAGCCTGGTCAACTGTCGCAATCTGGACAGGCCCTAAGAGACTGCCAGGTCTGGGAACAGCAAGCACACATCCTGCGTTAGGTCACAGACACAATCTAGATATTTTTAACAATATTTGGTGCTAGCCAGAGTATTTAAGATACCAGTATATTTAATATATCTTCTTAAATATATTCTTATAGACATATATGTAGACGCAATCCCTGTGAGCTAATCAGTCTGTTTCAGGTAGTTGTTGCCTCTCTTGCATCTTTATCTTGTCTCTGAGAGTATTTATCTCTAATGTTGTATTCTGAAGCTTGATTTCTACCTCTGCACTGAATCTGTGCAGAGCCCACATGAGAGTCAAATGTTGTTGCCAACATTTCTGCTTATGCTGGTGTGCCCATGTTGCTCTGCATCTCTTTGCTGAAACACTAGTTAGCGATGGAGTTCTTCTTTGAGTTGATCTGTTCTTTTGCAGCCAATTTGAAAATTGCTATCAGAAGAGGAAGTAGCTGTAAATGTGTAAAAAGAAATGACAGTGTCTAAAGCATCAGTCATAGACATTGCTGGCTGCGTCAATGTGATGTGAACATTCACAGTTACATGTCTGTGTAGTTTCACATCAGGTTACTGCATGCATTACAGCATAGGATTTCAGAACAGTTCAGTTAATGCAGAAGAAAAAATTCTGCAACAGGCATACCACTCACTGTTAGCATCGAGCGCTACCCACCTTCTGTTCAAACCCACTGTGCATGAAGGGCAGCCAATTAGAAGAAAGTTAGCTGGAAGGGAGAAGACCTAAAATAGTTTTGTTTCGGGTAGATGATAACTGTGGAGTTGTACAACGTTGCTTCAGGTTATTGAGGTTTACATTAATTCACAAAAGTTCTCGTAAGGTCCTCCAATAGCATTTCAGTCAGGTTAAGGTCTGGACTTAAAAACCCCACTTTGATTCTTTTCCTTTTCAGCCATCCAGCTGTTTGCTGCCGTTTGACTCTAGAATACTTTGGTATACAGAGGAGCTGATGTTGACTCAGTGACTGTAAAGTGTTTTTTTCAGAGACGAGGCTTTTTCCTAACAGTCCTCCCATTCTTTTCCTAACTGTACCGTTATCAACTTTAACATTTAACATGCTAACCCAGGCCTCTGGACTCTGAGATGTAGCTCTTGGGTGTTTTGCTGTTTCTCAGGGCACTGCACAGTCTGACACTGGGGTGAAATCCTTCTTGAATGTTTTCCACTTGTCAATAATTGTTCTTTCTGCAGAATGATAATAAATAGCCTAACCCCCTTCCCGACTTCATAGACAGCAACAAGTGCTTCTCTAAGATCAGTGCTGGTGTTGTTCCTCCTTCACATTGTAATAGCACACACCTGAATGCTCCAGAGCAGAAAACTGTCAGAACCTCTGCATTTACAGAGGTGGTCAATCTGGCATTTCTGACTTTCCATCTTAATTAATAGATGAGTTAGATTTATGGCTGTACATTTTTTCTTTCACTAGTGTAAATAAAACATTAACAGCAAATTGTAGCTGTTAAAGTAAACTCATTATGTTAAAATTTTTGATTAGAGAATTTCCCTTGTATTAATCTATACTATTTGAAATATAAAAACAAGTCCGTACTGTAACTGATTTCTCAGTCATGTTCTATCAGGTATCCCTGGACGCTGTGCGGAGCTTGGGTCTGCTTCTGGAGGGCTCAGTTTGCCAAGGAAAAGCTGTTCAGCCCATTCACCGGCTGCTGACCAAAGGTCCACTCCAAACACAAGCTGGCTACTCCTCGCTCACCCGTTCCTTCCCCCTGCACAATCTTCTCTCCTGCCTCCAGCGCAGCCTCACTCTGAATCCCTTTGGAATAACTGCCTGTCTCCATTCGGGCAAGAAGCTCGCTTGGGCTCAGCAAGGTTTAGTAAAATCATCTGGCATTAGTCCTTCCTCACGGTCTTCACTTTGTGCCTTTCTTTGACCGCCCATGTGTGTTTGTGTGTTCTAGTGGAAGGGGCCATGAAGAGAGCCAAGATAGCCAGGAACACCCACATGGCACCACCTGGTAGTAAAATGGTGCTGATGTCCCAAGTCTTAAAACAGACCCTGGCTAAAACTTCAGACAAGCTGACTGGTGCCAACATTAAAATCCATAGATGTGCTGATGCCTTCATATACCTTCTCTCACCTCTCAGGTAAGGTTGCCTTCTAGTAATAGAAGATGGGTTATCTTTAGCATACAGGCCAAGAGTGCAAGCACCATAAGCAGAATTGATAGGCAGGCAGACTAATGATTACAAGGAATTGCCCTACTGGGAACCGGTTTTCTACAAGAACTGGTTCTTGATTCCCGTTCCTAGGCTGACTGTCAGTTGGCTGATCTCTGGCTGAAAGCGGCAGTTTTCAGTGGCTGTATCTGTACAGTTTATGTTCTTTCTGTTGTTGAATTTGTTCCTTTAGATCAGTCAGTGTGGACAAATGCCGTGACAGCACTGTGGTTCTGGGTCCCGTTGAGACCAGCGTCCACATCCACAGCTGCCAGAATGTGCGGGTGGTGTGCATGGCCGGCCGAATTGTTATTGGAACTTCCTCACGTTGCACCATCCATGCCCTTACGCCCACACGCCCGTTGCTACTGCCGGGAAACATGGACATTACTCTAGGTCCTTTCCACACTTTCTACCCTTCCTTGGAGGATCACATGGCCAGCGTGGGGCTGGCGGTTGTCCCTAATCTCTGGGATCAGCCCTTACTACTGGTGACCGAGGGCCTTGCCAGCCACTCACTCAATACGTTGTCCAGCCCAGACCCCTCCTGCTACCGCTTGCTGCCACCATCAGAGTTCCACACACTGGTCGTGCCTTTTCAGATGGAGGGAGACACGTGTGAGGTGCCCGGTGGTCTGCCTCCTTCATACCAGGCAGCTCTGGACGAAAAGAAGAGGAGGATACAGAACTGGCAGAAGACTGTGATAGAGGCCCGGCTGAGCAAGTGAGTGAGAAATTGACCCCCAAACCTTTATTAAGCAGTGGCTCAGCCACCTATACATGTGTTCAAGTAAGTTTTAGTGTTTCATTATGTAGCGTGCCTTTTAATCAGTGGAAAATTGTAACAGCAAAGGCATTCCAAAAAATCAATATGAATGTCAGTTAACTGCTGTGTGTGAGAGATATGCAGTTCAGTGAGCACACTGATGTCAGACGGGTTGCACGAGGCAGCTCTCCACTGGCTCTTTACATTCATAAATAGATGTTCATCTTTTAAAGGAAATACACGTATTTAATGTTTAACTGGCAGGAACACGATTGTATATCTGCATACCAAAAGTTTTGGCAGTGGCACCACTCGATTGGTCAGTGATGTGACATCTAAATTGTCTGTCAGACAAGAGACAAGGCAAGAGTTTTGGATTTGTTTCAAAACATTCGATTTCATATAGTATCCATGTACTGGTCAGAGACCGATGGAGGAACGTTAGTTAAACAGTCGTTTCAAAGATAGTCTTATTGGAAAGTCTTCATTCTGCTCTGAATGTTGTGATTGGATACTATGACTCTATAATGTACAACACTGAAGGTGCTGTGAGGATTCATGTTTGGAAGCATTAGATTGTGATCCACTCTTTCTGAACTGGGTTGCAATTTGTGCTTACAAGAAAATCTGAAAAATCAGAAAGTTTTCAGCTTGAAAAACTGCTACAAATTTATATAGACAAACTAATGCCTCCTACAGAGGCTAGTCTTTGTTTTAACTCCAAAACAGGAATATGATATCCAATCATCTGGAGTGCTGAGCATGCAGGTAGAGGACTATGGAGGAGTGAAAATGAAGAAGACCTTTATTAAAAAGAAGAAGAGCACAGATAGTGGCTATAGTGGACGCTTCATTGGTTTTAATGCTCAGTTTCACTTCAGTTCTTTGTATGTTAGAACTTCACTCTTGTCTGCGGCTGGTTGGCAGGCCCACATGACCACAAGGGAGAGTGGCCCACAGACCCATTGATCACATACTCTGTACACTGTCTCCATTGACAACATTGACATTGCTACTACTATATACGAGCTATTAAAGTACCGGGCTAAGAAACAGAAAATTAAACACACGCATATTGTTGCTGGAGCATAAATGTAGGAAATAAGGTGAATGATGCTAAGAATTTTCTCTCCTTCATGTCAGAAAAACTTTTTTTGTTAAGCTCTGTTATTTTCAATATTATACCGTTTAAATGCAACTTTCTTTTACGTTCTCTTTCTTTCCAGGGAGCAGAAGCAACAGTTCCAGGAATTGGTGGAAATGAAGTTTCATGAGTGGCTTCTGGAAACGAGTCACAGGCAGGAACTGGACAGCCTAATCCCACCCACAATAGCCTCTGTAAAGGACTCTGATGGGGCAGGAGCAGACACCAACCAAGTTAATGATCCCAAACATATGAGGACTGGACAGGCAGTGGGACAGTCATCCATGGCGTGTTGAATTTTACTGTTTGCTTTTTTTGCCAGCAGAATAATTGCACCTGTAAATTAAGGCAGCATGGCCGTTTGCACATGCAGGTTACATATGGTCTTCTTCTCATACGGTGCTGCTGTGAGTTCTTGCTGCTGGTTAAGCTTTTCCAGCAGCTTACAGTTGTGTCCAGGGTCACAGTTCCTTCTTGAGAAAAGGCAGCTAAATGTTTGACATGTCTAAAGTGGGAGTGAATTGGCTTGTTATCAAACAACATCATGTGCCACACACACTCTGTAAAGATGAGGCATGTGTGAAGTCGCCACATGCTTTAAAGAGACATTTTCCTGCTTATTGTCTTCTTCAGAGTGAGGATGAGGAGGAACAAACCAGGCACAACGATTAACTGTGATTGACAGTCGAGTAAATAAACCCAGACCATTGTTTTCAAGCAGTCAGTCTTTTTTTCAAATGTAATTTGGTACCAACTGTCCATCCAGTGTTTAGGTGAACTTTGTGTTGCAATAGAAAAACCAAAACCTGTTTGAATTAATTTGATAGACAGCTTTCAGGTGCTGAATTATGGGTAACTGTGGTCAGTGTGGTCATGGACTATGAAGCAACATTAATAGGATAGCAGAAAGCTATGGTTTTTAAGCTAGTGAACTCAAACAGAGCCTAGATATGTTGAACTTGCTTCCTAGCACAGCCCTCTGGAGACCCTGTCGTCTCTTCCATGCACCTACTGACGCCTAATCTTCTCAAACAGACCTCGTATACAAGTTTTCTGAGGGAACCTGCTAAGCATTTAAAGATAGAGGATGTAGATGCTGAACATTTTAAGCACTTCGAATCTAAAGGGGCATGTTAGTACCTAGATTGTAATAGTATTATTTTTTTTAGAATATTAATAAAGCATTTTCGTGTGTGTGTGTGTGTGTGTGTGTGTGTGTAACCCGTTACTCACATGCTGCTAATAGCTGTAGTGACGCTGTTTTGTGTGCTCGATTTTGCTCTCACATGACAGTGCAGCTGCAGAGTTGTGCTTGAATTTCTTCAGTACAACAGAACAAGCTAATCTGCTGTTCCAGCTGAGGCAGGATTTAATAAACAGGTGACCAGTTTTCCAAGAAAACTTAAATGTATATTTATTTTTGAATAAAGATGTCGATTTTTAGCACTGCATAATAATTATTTTTCATAAATCTACTTTACCTCTAGAATAACTGTTAGCAGTGAATACCTCCAAGTGTACTTCAGGCAGTTAGCTTCCTCTTTCCACATGTACTTTACGGCACGCTGAATTTTGAGCGCTGAAAATACAAAATATGATGTAAATTATACACAGAAGGCCTGCTTGAAATCATCAGGGCAGCACTGTATTGGAAATAGCAAATGAAGGGAATATGTGCTTAAAACAGTTTCAGGATTCATGCTGTAAACGCCTTAATGCTGTTGTTTACTACAAAAATGGTCCTGTTAATTTGATGCACAGCTCTGTGCAAGAGCACCAAGTCATTTTTAATTGTTAAAAACTGAAATAAAGGTTTTAACTACAACCTGGTCGCATCTTATGTGTTTCTTTGGATATTTACAATAATGTGCAAAAGTCTTCTAACCTTCATTTCTTTGTATTTTATTTCCAAGAAGCCAGACTTTTAGAGTGGTATATTATATATATATATTGGTGCCAATAGTTCTCCAGGCTTTCTGAGAGGCTTTCAAAGATTATCTTTGGACATTGTCTGCTTTTTCATTCATTTTCAGTTCAGTCCTTGTACCTCACCATTATTTCCTGTTTGTTAAGCCACTTAACACTGAATTTTATTACACGACAGAACGCACAGTAAAATTTTAATTCTGTAAAAGTTGGAACTTTTGTGTAAAATGTAAATAAGAGCAGAATGCAAAGACTTGCAGATTTCATAAATCGATTCTTTTTTATTCAACGCAGAAGACAATTAAATGTACCATTTTCAGAAAAAAAGCTTATTTTGAATTTGATGGCAGCTGCATGTTCCAAGTTTACCACTGTGCTGCAGTGCCTCTTTTAGCATCAGTTGAAGAGAGCAGCTGCTGGAGTTTTGGGAGAGTAGTGTTGCCCTGTTCTTCTCTGATATAAGAGTCTAGTTCAGGGGTGGGCAACTCCAGGCCTCGAGGGCCGGTGTCCCTGCAGGTTTTAGATGCGTCCTTGAACCAACACAGATGATTTAAATGGCTAAATTAGCTCCTCAACGTGTCCTGAAGTTCTCCAGAGGCCTGGTAATGAACTAATCATGTGATTCAGGTGTGTTGACCCAAGGTGAGATCTAAAACCTGCAGGACACCGGCCTTCGAGGCCTGGAGTTGCCCACCCCTGGTCTAGTTGCTCCATAGTCCAGAGCCTTCTTTGTCTGATTGTTCATTCATGATGAGCCAAATGTTTTCATTTGAAAGGTCTGCACTGCAGGAAAGTCAGTTCAGCACCCGGACCCGTCTACTATGAAGTCATGTTGTTTTGATAGATGCAGCATTCAGTTTAGCATGGTCTTGCTGAGATATTCTTTGTTTTTTGAAAAAGCTGCAGCTTTTGTATTTCACCTTGATGGTGCCTATCCAGATGTGCAAGCTGTCAGATCCATAGGCACCAATACCACATACCATCACAGATTCAGTCTTTTGAACTGAGTGCTGATAACAAGCTGGGTGGTGCCTCTTATACTTTGCCCGGAGGACGTGACCTCTGAGCTTTCCAAAAAGAATTTCAGATTTGGATTTCTCTGACCGCAGAACAGTTTGCACTTTGCCTGGGTCCGTTTGAAAGGAGCTTTGGCCCAGAGACGATGGTGTTGTTTCAGGATCATTTTTTCACGTATGACTTCTTTGACCTGTATTTGGCGCAGTGAACTGTGTTCACAGACAGTGATTTCTGCAAGTGTTCCTGAGCTCATGACAGTTTTTCTTACTTTTAAAGCCTTTTATTGCCCTCATCTATCAAACTCCAAATGAGATCAGTTTAAACATTTGTTATGTTTTCTCTGTTCTATTATAAATAAAAAAATGGGTTCATATTTATGCGGCACCCCAACCTTTTAAATTGTTTACAAATCCACTTTAGTCCAAATTATTGGATTGATTAAAAAATCCTAGAAAATAGGATGCATAAGAAACACAATACTGCAAAAGTAAATCACATATTATGAGTAAGGTTAAAGAAAATAAGTAGCATCAAGAGCAAAAGTGTATAATTGTAAACATTTCATTAAAAGTCACATGCATATTATAACCAGCGCTACATTGTACATTAAGTACTTGTTTCATACGCACATCTACAACACCACTCACTTTTTCTCCTTATTTTTGTTATTTCAGCACTTTCAGACTGAAATTTTGAAGTGAGGTCACTCCGTTTGTGATTCCCATTTTTACTTAATAGATGTGAATACTTTCACCACTGCTTTATGTGGATCCATCCAAAAAAGAAATAAGTCATGAGTTGGCAGGTCCTTGCCAGGTGGGAGCAAGCTGGTGGAGCTGGCATGTGTAACGGTGGGCACTGGACCCAGTCAGTAGAGTAGTGGGGTCAATGGACGCTTACCCACGCCTGACCATTATGCCGTAATCCTTCCTCGCTTTTCTGGAAAATCTGAATAGCACTAGAATCACTGACTCAATTTTTGGATCTCATTTTCATGACAAAGCGATTGTTCCCCTTTTGCCTCCACTGTTGCTGTTTATAAATGTGGGAAAGCAGGCATATAAAAGGCACTTGCTCAAAGGCCAGTGCAACATCAAGACCTCAGGGGGAAGCATCACCATCACTCATCATCACCAAGGCTATCCCACACAATATATCCAAGATGGGCAGGGTGAGTCAATGCAAAGAGTTTAGTTTTAATATGCGGGTTCAAAAGTGCATGTGGGAGAGTACAGAGGTTTGCTGCAGATGTTGTTTCCTTATACTCTGTTGTAAATTAAAGCCTCGCTGCTTGTTTGAGCTGCTGTTAACAGTGGCTTTGCTTTAAAATGTCTGAGCTTTCAGACAGGGACCAGGCTTTAGACTGCCTAACAGAGCAAATGTGAAAGGTGGACGAGCACTGAGACTGTTATGCGTTCCCCCCTCAGATTGTCTTCTACGAGGACAAGAACTTCCAGGGCCGTCGCTATGAGTGCGACAGTGACTGCTCAGATTTTCACACCTACCTGAGCCGCTGCAACTCCATCCGGGTGGAGAGTGGAGCCTGGGTGGTGTACGAGAGACCAAACTACATGGGCTACCAGTATGTCTTGAGCAGGGGGGAGTACCCAGAGTATCAGCGCTGGATGGGACTGAACGACCACCTCAGTTCCTGCAAGATGATCCACTTTGTAAGTCAGGTGTTGCCTGCATGCTGCTCTGCTGCAGGTGCACATTTTTTTACCCTGTCTGTCATTTGTTATTGACTGTGCACTGTGAGCACAGACTGCACGCTCAATGACAAAGAGCTGAAGTCTTCACAATGTTCTCCGCAGGTGTGGAGTCGAATTTTAGAATATCTTAAAAGACTGAAGGCACAGAGGGCTCAGGGCATCCCAAAAAAGCATTTAGTATGTGAGATGACATCCAGTCATGTTCATGCTACTGCAGTGCTGTGTCGATGGAGACCAGCGTGACATCAGTCTCTTTGTATGAGCAGGCTTTGGTCCAGCTGACCCACAGCCTGCAGCCTCTTTAAATCAATGCAGTTAGTAGATGCATGTGTACAGTTTGGTTCTATTTATAAAGGCACAAAACAGTGAGCAAACACACACTGCAAACAATGAAGGATTGATTAATGTAAGGTATCTCACTGATTATGGCAAATATACTGAGTACAGTCCTTCAACAGACTAGTTTACCATGATCATCGAGAGGCAAATTATACACTCAGATACTTGTTTGTTATTTTACTTGCAGCTAGCAAGACAATAAATAAACTTTATATTAAAGTGAACCCCAAGAGTCAGATGATCCCACTATGAGCAGCACGTGGCGACTGTGGGGAAAAGAAACGTGCTTCCAATAGAAAGAGACCTCAGGCTTAGGTGCTGTGACCGGCTGAGAGGTGACAGCATCATTAAACACAAGCAAAGACAAATGAAACTAATGAACTACAATTTTAAAAGTAATCAATAATTTGGATTAGCTTTTCTCTAAACTGCCACACTGTATCTGACAAAATTAGGTGTACATGTAGTGTACGAATTTTCCAATTAGATGCAATTCTAATCTCATTGTATCCTTTCCCTTTTCTTTTCCCTGCACTAACCTCCATCTTCACCTCCCTCCCTCACTTTCCAGACCAGTGGGACCCAGTACAAGATGCAGCTTTATGACAAGGCCGACTTTGGCGGCCAGGCCCTGGAGGCCACAGAGGACTGCCCCTCACTTCTGGAAAAGTTCCGCTGGAGGGAGGTCAACTCCTGTAAGGTCTACGATGGTTGGTGGGTTTTCTACGAGCACTCCAACTACCGTGGACGTCAGTACTTCTTGGAGAAGGGAGAATACCGAAAGCCTGGGGATTGGGGTGCTGCCAGTCCTGCTGTCCAGTCTTTTAGGCGCTTCACTGAATAATTTAAACTCCATCCAAAAATATCAAGAAGACTGTCTGGGCATTATGAGTTAAAGATTTAATTAGAACCTTCATCAACCATGTTTGCGATTTTGAACTAAGGTCTCAAAAATAAAACCTGCAAGTAAGCACAATAATCTTTCTGCGGATTATTTCCATGCATGTTTTGAACCATTTTAGCACATAACTAAAGTTTATTCACTAAAGAAAAAAAACAAGCCAGCACCTTCCCTCCTAACTGCACAACGGTGGTTAACACGGTTACCTCACAGCAAGAAGGTCTTGGGTTTAAGTCTCAGCTTTCTGTGTCTCTGTGAGTTAACCCTCTGACAGACTGGTGGCCTGTCCAAGTATAACCTGCCTCTCGCCCTGCGACAGGTGGGACACGCTGTCACGGCAAATCTCTCCAACCGTTATTTAACAACACCGTTTATTTAAAATGATAGACAAAAAACAAACAAACAAACAAAAAACAGGAAACATCTAAAAACATTTCAAGCATCCACTGACGAAATGCTGCCACCTCGTGGTGAAAGTTATAGTTTAAAAACCCACCCGTCCATTCAAGTTTTCAAATTCAAATTTCGGCTGGACTTCTGTGTCACGAGAGGTTTGTACCATTAGGCGGAGTATAGAGCTAGCCTCGAGTCTGCCCAGTAGGAGATCATCACTTCATAACAATCTATCAAACTGTTGCAACATGCTAATTTCAGCAATATATAAAAAATAAAAAATACTTCAAAATATTTTACTCACCAGAAGCACAGACTTCTAGCAGGCTGTTAAAGTCATATTATATTTCAATTCAAATTTATTTATACAGTGCCAAATCACAACAACTGTCGCCTCAAAGCACTTTATATTGCACAGTAGATCGTACAATAACAGATACAGAGAAAAACCCAACAATTATATGACCCCCTATGAGCAAGCACTTTGGCGACAGTGGGAAGGAAAAACTCCCTTTTAACAGGAAGAAACCTCCGGCAGAACCAGGCTCAGGGAGGGGCGGCCATCTGCTGTGACCGGTTGGGGTGAGAGAAGGAAGACAGGATAAAGACTTGACATAAGTCCACTTTCAAGTATAAGTGCACTGAAAAGGCTTCTCAAGGCAAAGACTGGAATTAGTTGGGCTGACACCTTGTTGACAGCTAGCAGCTATGGGCAAGTCAGTCACAGCCACAGCCTTGAAACCCCTTAAATTATATAAGGGGTCTGTATAGTTAAAGGAAGAAATAAGTTATAAAGACAAAACATATCTCTGGAACAGGTTGTAGAAATGTTTATTTCTGCTGTAAAGTTGAACATTATAATATGGGAGTCTCTGCCTCGAGTGGCCACTAGAGGAACTACAGTTTTGGGCACTTCTGCTTCGGCACCCTGGAGGTTGCTGCTCGGTCAATATGAGAGGTTTTCTTACATAATTATGAAAATTACAATAGGAAGCAGGCACTTGTCTGGACCCTTCAACAGACTTGACATAAGTTCACCCTTTGGTACTTTATTTTGGAAATACTCATGGCTGATTCAGCCCAGCATGAGTTTGAGGTCCACAGTGACAGGCTGAGGGTTCCAGTGTGTCCCAAAAGAGAAACAGTTGCCTCCTCCACCTATCAAGAGCAGCTCTGGATCTTCTGAGTCCGTCATCTCAGAGCAAAATGAGTGGAGCATCAGAGGCCAGGGCACTGAGGTCTACACATGACAGGACATACATTAGTAGTTAACATCGGATAAATTCAGTTCTCCTTTTCCTCACAGAAGTGGAACAGTGCTAGTTTTTAAGCAACAAACCTGGAGGTTTTAAGGCCTGAGGTCAATGAAGAACATTGGTTGGTGCTAGATTTCCTTTAGAATAACTGTAAGTGCAATAAATGATCACTAACCGTGTCCAGACTGTACTCCATACTGCTGCACGTGGTGATGTTGATCACAACAACGCCTGGCACGCCGTCTGAATGCAGCCAGACTCCACCTACCACAACCAGCTTCTCACCACTCACATGGGCACAGTGAGAGTATCTAAAACGAAGCACACAATGGAAATCTCATCAAAGAGTTTCTTAGCAGAAACTTGGAGTTTGGTTATGGTGTCTGAGGCACAACAGACCTGGGTACAGGAGGGGGCTGCACATCTATTCTCTCCCAGCAGAAACCTCTTTCAGTTGGTGTCAGGATTACCGTGTCATTCAGGGGCACTCCTGCTCTGCTCAGCCCTCCAAACACCACACCACCACCTTTATATGAGCATGCAGAGTGAGAATGACGAGCCTCTGGTGCTACGCCCTCTACTGGGATCTATAAATGACACCCAGTGGTCATGTATGAGTCATATGCACGTTATGTTCCTGCTCCATACTTGTATTCTTGAAATCTACTAAATGACTCCTTCAAAATATACCTTACATATCTAATATGTGGAGGTTTATATGCATACGGGCCCTGTGTGATGTGATAATAAACTTGTGCGTGCAACATTAAGAATCTGGGTTTAAAATTGTAACAACAAGCAAACCTCAGTCCAGTGCTGCTGGTCGACACTCAGGAAGTATCCGTCACCCAAAACGGCCCCTGATTGGTTCTTTCCACCAAACACAAACACAAACTCTCTGCCTGCAGAGATGTGACAGAGATTCGGTGTGTAACGAAAAAGCAGGGATGGGATAAAAGACTGGCAGAGAGAAGGCAAAGCAAAGATGTGAGAAAAGCATAAAGCAAAAGAACAAATGGAATGAAAAGAGAGAAAAGAAAGAAAAAGCTACAAACAGGAAGAGAAAAAAAAAAAGAGTGTAAGGCAAAATGATCCTACAAGACATTCTGTTTTCCCTCACCTCTGTGTCTGGTTAGGGTAGCAGAGTGCCTCCATCTTGGCGGTGGTGGACTGCCGGTACACATCATCTCCTCCATACAAAGCTTCGGTGCATCTTGGCCCCCTGACTCCAGAGCACCAGGTGCACCACAGAGGCTAAAGGTCATTTTGAAAAGGCTTCTGACCGGGTTGAGTGGAGAGGAGCGACCTCCAAATACCACAGCACCCACTCCAGGTATAGGGGTAACTGTGTGGTAGAGTCGCACACCTGGGATAAGTGAAGGGAAAATTACTAACTTTTCCTGGCCAAATCAAGACCGGCTGCCCCTCCCTCCAAAGAAAAAAAAAACCCTCACCAACATCTGCTGATGGCTCCACACTGACGGACCTCCAGCCTTCCTGTTCTCTGAGCAGGAGTCTGATCGCTGCTCTCCTGCCTCCTCTGCTGGAGCCTCCTGTTAGCAGGACCCACCCTGGCCTCACTGACGCAGAAGCCATCCCCAGCCCCTCCACACATACCGGTGTGGTCCGAACACTCAGGGCTGTTGTGCTCCAAGAAGGGCCAACAGGAGATTCTAAAGCAACAACACAACTTCAACATGCATGCAGAACGTCCCATTTCAAATGCTTGTTAGTGTCAAGTCGAGGAGTGGAAAGTGAAAGCTACCTGGAGCTCGAGGGAGTAAAGCCTGTGCCATCAAAGACCCTCGAGATGCAGTAAGGATGAAGTAATGGGAACATTTCTGGTGCCATTCCTGAGAGCAGACAGGTGAGGAGCCCCTTAAAAATTATTATTCCCTTTATGATGTTAGCTAGATACTGAAGTACCGCAACTGCAACTTATGGACACCTGCAGTCGTTCCGGTGTTGTCCCAAAAAATAAAATGATGTTTTATATCTTCTTTATTTGAACTAACACCAAATTTTATAAAGTTCATTTGTAACTTTTCCATAAAGCTCTTCTTCAACAATCATTGAATGATTTTGATGTTAGCTACCGTGTTGACTGTTTTACTCTTTGTTTAATAGCAGGTTCAAAGATACTTATATTACAAATGATGAAGGTAAAAAGTAAGTGGTACGTAAGAGACAAAATAAAAGATGGGTGTAGCTTTCAGGACTGCAGAGTGAAGCCAGTGTGAAAGTGCCCGGTTCAAAACCAGAGCATTTTATGTTGAGGTGAAAGAATGTACCATTGCTCCAGCATGCCGTCCATAAGGTTCCCCAAAAACCACAGAGAGTGGGCTAGACTAGACACACTCTCCCCTCATAGTTGGAAACTGTAGAGTCAAATAATCCTAACATCTTCATTGTGTGCACTCCTCCCCACAGAGGCTGACACTCAACTACAAACACAGATCGCTTCTTGAATAAGCACTGTGGTTTTCAGCTGTACTAACATTAATTGGAAAAGAGGTTTTCTAAAGGTCACAACAATAAATAAACTTTCAGCAGCGGTTTAGTGATAAATGACAAAATGTGTCAGCCAAACCAATTCAAGTGAGCTCTTCTGATCAGTAGTGCACACTTTTATAGAAGATGCAACGCTGAGACCCAGCTGACCTCATATTCATCAAAAGGCTCCAGGCTCTCAAATCTGCATCTCTCCTCCTCAGGGACCAGCCCGAAGAGGAAATTATTCATATCCAGGCACACACACTCCTCCCAGCCCTGGAGACAAAGATGCCATATATTTAACCGAGCAGGACTGGACACATTTAAACTTCATGATGTGTATTCATGGGATTAACCTTCACAGGAGGAACAGGGACGTTTTGAATATGTCTCAACTGTTTGTTTTTTTTTATTCAATTGGTACTTGGGCCTGAGGTATGTTACATTGTGCTTGTTCAAAGAAATGAAAAGATACAGGAAGTGTCTTGTGTATAGCTTGTGTACTGACCTTGTCCAGGAAGCGGTGCCTTTGTGCGGCGGTGTCTGGGTATTGTCGAAGTGCATGCAGAGTTGAATTGAGTTTCTGGAAATGCTCCTGCATGATCTGACCGAAGGGATCGTGCGGATGGATCTGCTCATACATAACAAAGAGAGACTGTGGCAGGAGCTTTGCTGCCCAACCAATGATGGCATCAGACCTGAAAGACACACAACATCCAACGGCTTTAAATGTGATTTGCTTTGATCATAAATTCTCAGTTTTCAGCCATCATCTAACTAGCGTTACACACCCAAGTGTATGCAAATTCATCTCTAGTTCACATTTTATACATTACTGCACCATTGTGTTTCCATGTAGGTGAGCACCACTTCAGAAAGAATCAGGGTAGGGGCAGCCCAGTCCAGCCCAGCTACACGCAGAGCCTCTTCCACCTTGGACTCCTCTCTAACATCCACTCCTAACAGACGGTACTGACTGCTGGACACATAAACAGGTCCTGAAGAAACACAAGCAGCCATACTAACCTCTTACATCTTTTACCTGACAAATAATTTTTTTAAACCACTAACAGGAAAAAAAAGACAAACCTGTAAGTGACGGTGACTGGGAGTCTATCATCCCCCTTAGTGTTATATTAGAAGTGATGAGGGCAGCCTTGCGCTGAGAGACATCAGGAAAATCTACCTCAAACACAACAGCTCCGCTCAGAGCTCCATCTCCACGTAGGCGGAAATACAAAGAGTCGAAGCCCGCACCCAAAGACAAGATCTAAACCAGGGAAGTGAGGTTGAAAAATAAAGACACCAATCAGAATGGAAACCTATACAAAAGATGGGAACATTTGGTAACATGGAAGATGATGGTAGCCTTAAAGAGAAAAGGCTTTTTAAACATTAAGTCAGTGAACATTGAGCATTTTTAAATTATATTTGACTCAGATTCTATAGACACTTTTTGTTTTCCTTTGATCAGTGAAATGACCACTACTCTGGATAATGATTTAAAATAACTGCTCTAATAAGTGCCAAGAGGTATTACGTGATGGCTGCTAAGTGACCTGCTTCCAGAAAGACTGATTGGACGATACACTGACAGCTTACCTGTCTTTCAGGGCATTTTTCTGTAATCTGAAGGAATTTCCTCACACAGCGGTCCACAGCTTTCCAGCGCACATAATAGCCCCTGAAACATCCAAAGAAACTTTAATTTACACAAGACATTTTTACCCAGTACCCCCTGCCAGCTACATACATACATGTGGTGTGCATCACCTCCCCTGCACATGAGAGTAATTCTATTGCTGCTGCTTACTGTATAAATGTTGTTTATAGAGTAAACCATCACCACATACATCCGAGATGCATGAAAGAAGAAAAAACAATATCTGACCTGTTGATAAGCGGCGCTCTCCTGGCCACTTTGCACACAAAGTGTTGAAGGAAGGCATCTTTGAAGTAGCCCTGTGCTGCAGCAGACACTTTGCTCACCACACTGCTGTCATTGGTTCCCTGTACCTGATTTAAGGAACAACAAAGAACCAGCAGAAATAAATCTCCCAAAACACAGTGCAAGACTTTTGAAGACCTTTAATGATCTTCTTTCTTATCCTTCCGTAGAAGGATGTCACATATACATACAAATGTTGCATATACTCATATCATCATTTTAAAGTATGCACATGTGCAATGAGACTACTGTTACAGGGGTGGATTCTCAAATTAAACACGGCCACAGATTCAAATAATGAGGTTAGCGCATGCATGAGAAGTCCCTAAAGTTTAAGGTAAATATGGCTTATTTTTAACTGTGAATCATGCAAAGCTAGTCTAGGGTTCAAGAAACACACAGAGCTGTACTGTGATACATCTTATTCTATTACATATGTACTAGTAACCATCTGGCATGTAGTGCTGTAATAGGCAGAGACTGAGCTCATTTTTAATATCTTCTTACACATCTAATATTTTTGAATACAACCGCAATATTGTGGTTCAACCATCAGCACAACAATATAATTGACATCGTGTACTTCATAATATAGTAGAGCTAAAGTAAACAGTGGTGTGTTTACACATAATACTGTTAAGTACTGTGAATAGTGAAACAACACTTACGGCGGTGTCCCTCCCCTTCTTCTGCGCTTTTCTGTTTGTTGCTGGCATAGTGACGGCAAGTTATCGCATAACATCACAATAAAACACCTCCACGTTTCCCACAATGTCTTAAATAAAAACAGACCGACACATTTGTGTGCCTGCACAGCAGTGCACCGGTGAAAACAAGTCAAACATCCTTCACGAGGTATTGACTTCCGAGATATTTCCCAGGATTTCTCCGGCGCCCCCTGCAGCCCGGAGGCTGCAACAGAAAACCACGCGGTTAATCACCGAAACTCCATTCAGGAAATGTGTTGGTGTCTGTGCCTCGATTATTATGATTATCTGCTAGTTATTGAGCAACTTTTGTCGCCATTAAAACATTAAAATTTGACTAAAAGCTAAAAGCCTCGGGTTAATATTATCAATGACTGCCATATTTTTCTATTTTCAAAAAAGGATTTAAATCTTTGTCGAAAATAAAGGCAATAATTAAATTATACAATGCTTTGTGCATTCATACAATGATAAAAAGTTTAGTCTCTCTTTTAGATGGACATTCCGGAATTCTATTGTTTGTGAAACCATTTACCAGTTTTTTTTAAACTATGTATATATATTTAAATTTAAATATTAACTTTAGGTAACGCTCCTTAGAGGTTATAAAAAATAATAACCTTCAGATGAGCTTCTAGAAGGTTGCCAATATATTACCCAAAGAATTCACTACAATAACCCCGTCTACGTTTCCTAGAATACCCTTTAAAGATCGGAAAAAATATAACCAGACGAGAAAGAACGTTTCCAGAGGGGGTGATGTGTTTTCTGAGAATGAATCATTTCTATGAATTTGTCATTCTTACTGTGAGCGGTATTTTGTTCGTCGAATTTGTGTTCTGTGACTCTTATAATTGATCTAAATTTGTATTTTTAAAAAGTGTCATATAAAGACGAGGAAAAAAAAATCAAAGGATATGCGGCTCTTCTTTTCTTCCCAGAATTGACAATGCGGCACTCAGTGCGCATGCGCCAATTTCCAGGAAGCGTTAACATTTTTTTCTTTCACCAGCTGATAGCCAAATTGTCAACAGTTAAGTCAGCGCTACCCGCACGGCTGAAACGACACTATACACGGTAAATAGTCTTATGTGTTCCTCTCAGTACCTCTGTGTTACTTATACGCTCGGCTGGAACTGCTGTGTTTTATTGGGCGTCGAAATGCGAGGCTTTGTTTCAGTTTTGTGTCGTCCGAACCGAATGCTCGGGTCGCTGTCCCGCTAGCACATAACCCGAGATAAGGGTTGCTGATCTGATAACAGTCATTGTGGGAGTTGCCTCAACACGAGTACGCCAGGATGTCATCCATCTGCTCTCTTGTCCTGACGCGTGTCAGCGGGGTGCTGAGGTTAATGTTTCAAATGGAGAAAGTGCTGCAGTGCCGGGGGGAGGGGGGTTGTTAGCGTCGAGTGTCTGGGGTGGGAGAGAGCAATTAGAAGCGCAGCATCCCCAGTAAACTCCAGATCAAATGGGCCGCTATTTTCCCCACACATCTCTTATTCAGTGAACGCAGCAGCATGTGAAGGTTGGTACATATTGTGCAATGCAGTTAGGATTTAAACAGGTGCTGGATTGTATGCGAGACCTCCATCCCTCCTATGAGGCTTAAATCTTTAGAACTTATTTCTGGATCGGCTTGGATTTCCGTTTCATGAGGTAAGGCGTGATCACATTCAGAGGTAGTACACGTGAGACATTACAGTCGCAATTAAAACTTGTGCTTGATCGCATAGAAAACTTCTAATCTTTAGAAAGTATGGATCCGCCGGGAGAAGATTTGTTACCTTGAGGAAGAAGGATATGTGTATATAGGGCAGACAGTGTGTAATCTTGAACCGAAATAAAACTCTTCTGGCTTTTTCACACAGACCAAACACGACTAGAACAGAGGTCAAGACGTCGTCAGTGACACGTGACTCTCGGTCTGTTTTGGGAAGCAGCACAAGTGACCAAAAGCACCTGTCTCCACTCAGGGAGGAGGCCCAGCCCCCCTGCTGTCTCTGGTCAGTATGAGCTCCAGAGGGAGCGGAGGCCGCTCCAACGGCACACTAACGCAGACCAAGATTTGCCAGTTCAAGTTGGTGCTGCTGGGGGACATGGCTGTGGGCAAGTCCAGTCTGGTGCTGCGTTTCGTCAAAGGGCAGTTTGATGAGTTCCAAGAGACCACTATAGGAGGTAAGAACTGGGAGAACTCCTAATCAGGTGATTGATTGGGGGGGGGGGGATTTAAGAACCCCATAATGATCTATCATGCTTCTTTTTTTATGTCCAGCTGCATTCCTGGCACAGTCGGTGTGTCTTGATGATACCACAGTGAAGTTTGAGATCTGGGACACTGCAGGACAGGAGCGATACCACAGCCTGGCTCCCATGTACTATCGTGGCGCTCAGGCTGCTATTGTTGTCTTTGACATCACCAAGCCGGTACGTAGGTTCTAATTTCAGTAGGTCTTGGCTCCACTGATATTTGTTCTAAAATGTTGGACTGCTGCCTACAGGTATTTTTCAACATTCACGATTCATTTCATTTAGCTAAATCAATCATGTAAAGATTCTCACTGAAAGACAGTTGTAGAAACACATAAATGTCTCCGACAGCCTAATATTAGTATTAACCTGGAAACTCCTTGAGTTCTTTCCTCTCCTCTTTTTTTGTCGTCCCACATTTTCTACATCATTAGACATGGATATATTTGGTATCATTGAAATTCAGGAAGTTAGGTGTGACTATGAAGGTAGAGTAGGCCATCTGATAACTGGAAGGATGGAGGTTCAATCTCCAGCTCCCATGATCCCAGAGCTAGAGTTGGACGATAACTTCAGGTGAACTTCAGGGTTCACCTGAAGTTATCTTCTCTATGATCATTGGATTTTTCTCTGTATCTATTATTGTAGGATCTACTGTACAATATAAAACGCCTCGAGGCGACTGTTGTTGTGATTTGGCGCTGTATAAATAAAATTAAATTGAACCCCTGGGTTTTGAATTATGAAGGTGGTACTGAGTTAAATCGCCATGGTAGCTTGTCCTTCACATCTGTATATTCAAGATAAGACATTTGGCAAATGCAAAACCACCACCTACTGATGAATGTCTCTGGGAAATAGTGTCACCATTCCTGGAAGAGCCCCTAAGCCCAGTGTGAAGCTTCAACAAGGAATAAAGATTCTTGAGTGCAATGTGAATGATTGGAACTTTGAACCTTGCATCCAGTTCATGTACTGGCTGATGTTGAAACACAAATTTGCGTTTTGATCTACTTAATGGTTTACAACATGTTTTTATATTTGTCCTGTGCGACAGTGTAAATCCACCATCTGGCTGGGCCTTTCTGTGTGGCGTAAGCAGCTTCTTCCCGTGTCTGTGTACTCACAGTTTGAGTCTGATCTTCTTGTGTTGTCATGATGGCCACTGTTACTGTAAGGTCTATGAAGTGACAGGGGAGGAAAAACTCAGTTTAAACAGGAACAGATCTCGTACAGATCCATGCTTAAGGCAGATGCCCATAGCTTCCTAACTGGTTCTGGTGGTGATGGGGAAAAGGAAGGCAAAAAAAGACAATATAGAGAAAAAAATTTGCTCTTTTATTTGTAAAATATCTCCCGGGACCTGTCCATGTTGCAACTGGTTTATGTGCTGTAAGCGACACACAACTCCTTCTTGGATGGACTAATCAGGCCGATGACCACCTTTGTGGGATTACTTAGCCTGACTGTCTGTGTTAGACTATGCAAATACAAGTAAAGAAAATCCTGGGCACTCTGAGCAGGAGAAGGAAAGTGCTGTAGAAATTCCACTTCCCAAGTAGGAATATCAGCTGTCTTTTATTTCAAATGTGTTTTCATAAGTGCAACCCAGACACGCTGCTTTGAATCAGGTATTGCAAAATTTTAATGGTTGTCATCTACAGTTATGCATATTTGTGTAAATAGCAATTCTGAAATGTATCAAAGCATAAATGGAAAACATTTTTGATGTCACACATCTCCAATGTTAGTTGTGACTTTGGGTTCACCTAGTTCTTTTATTGAAATTAACTGATTCTGTACTTACCCATATTATAATCAAAACTTGGATTTTTTTAAAATTATTTTTCAACACATACTGTGTCTTCAGACTTTTACATTTTAACAAGTAACTTTCAGCAGTGCTATTTCTGTCAGTACCTCAGTCATGCTTCCAACACAGAGGCTTTGAACTTACTGACGTTTCATTTGAATGTCACACTTTAGAAAGAAGTTATTACATTATACTGCCCAGCTCCATTATTTGCATCAGCTCAAAGGTGAAAAGTTAATCTCAGAGCTGATAAATAAATTATTTTAACGATGCAGTATTCATGCCCAACATGCATCATATTTGCTTGGTATCTCTATGGTAGTTTATCTGACCTTGGTTCTGTGTTTGTGCAGGAGACGTTTGAGAGAGCCAAGGCCTGGGTAAAGGAGCTGCAGAGGCAGGCCAGTCCTAACATTGTTATTGCCCTGGCTGGAAACAAGGCTGACCTGGCCGAGAAGAGACTGGTGGAGTATGAGGTAACGCACCCCTGTTGGTACAAATTAAATCATAACCGATTTACTTCCTGAAGACAGAAGCAGTCCTATGGATAGAAGCACCTTGTTAATGAAAGAGGTCAGAGGCCACAATTGTTGGAGCTGACAGACTGTTAAGATTCACATGTTCAGCCTTGAAGCCGTTAGCTGTAACTGCTAGCCTAAAGTAGAAATATGAGGCTGCAAAGGGAACACACTTGCAATTCATAACTGTAACAAAATAGTCCCCAGTGAATCTTTTGCTTTAATTATCTCACAGCATGAATAAAAAACCCCAACCATGCTTGTTGCAGCAGTATAGGCTACTACTGTTGGATTTTAATACTGTGGGGAATGCTTTCTGGTCTGACTTTGGCCTACAATACTAGTCAGCTATGGTTCGAATGTGTAAGTGCTGTCACTGACCTTTTGGATCCCGGCACAGCCACACTTCTATTGTCTGAATCCACTAGAACACTGTACTGGGGATGTACTGTATATGCGTGTACATATAGAAGCTTCTGTTGGAGCTACACACTGTGGCGACCTCTTGTGACAGGAGAGTAGCTGAAAGTGGCTTTGTAACAGTGATGTCAGCATGGAGCAG